CTGCCTGGTGCTCACCGGCTTCGGCGGCTACGACAAGGTGAAACTGCAGAGCCGGCAGGCCGCGCCCCCGGCCCCCGGGCCAGGCCAGCTGACGCTGCGCGTCAAGGCCTGCGGGCTCAACTTCGCCGACCTTATGGCCCGACAGGGGCTGTACGACCGGCTGCCGCCGCTGCCCCTCACTCCGGGTATGGAGGGCGCGGGCGTGGTAATCGCTGTGGGCGAGGGAGTTAACGACCGCAAGGTGAGCGGGCCACCTCTGAGCAGGGCAGGGAAAGGTCGCGCAGGCCACTGGGTAGTGGGACACGAGTGGTCGGGCGCCGGGGGTGTGGCAGGGCGGGGGAAACTGGCACGAATACTGGTAGACGGGCATGGAAGGCGAGGGAAAGGAGCCTGTGTTCTGAGGCTCCTGGAGAACTGGATTTGTATTTGGGGATGGGGGTTTGAGATGGAGTTATTGTCCCCCTCCCTAAACATTTTAATTGTGGCCGCCGCCCAGAATCGGTGGTGGTGGTGATGGGTGGGTGAGTGGTGGTGGGACGGGGGGAAACAATAAGACGCCCATGCGCATGCGCACAACGACCTTTACACCCCCTCCCACCACCAGTAAAACCACAACTGTACCCCTGCCCACTAAACACTCTGCGGGTAATTGTGGTCTGCGACTCAGAGTGACGATTGGGGCCTTTTTCCCCGAGGGAGCTTGAAGAGCTATGTAGTCGGGCTGGGCGGGTGCACATGGCCATGCCAGAGCCCTAGTCACATGCAGCCCCGTGGTCTGTGGGGGTGTGAGGCGGCCCCTCCCAGAGCAGGGCTGTAGAGACAGGCCTGCCCGTCCTGGAGGAGTGGGAGCCTGCCACCGCCCCCTCCCTGCCCTGGCCTTAACTGTCGGTCTGATCGCGGGGGTAGGATTGGGGACTGGGCGGGAAGAAGAAGGGATCGAGATTGGATGTCTGGATATTTGTCTTGGGCTCTCTGTCTGCAATATCTCCTCCAGTGACTCAGCCAGCCGGCCACGACCCGGGGCTGCCCTTGGGAACTTTGGGCGGAACCGCCTCTGCCTTCCTCTCGGAGGACCCTCGCCTCAGAAACACATTTGGACAGGGGAAGGGGGTGTGGCACCATGAGCAGGTTGGCCCAGCTCTGCCAGTCTGTGTCTCTTTTTTTGTTTATCATTAATCTTGGCCACAACCCCAGACACTACAGAGTTCCAAATGACCAGCTTTTTGAGAGACCTTTGCCAGTCGTTTTTTTAGGGGGTTCTTTTCAAATCAGGCCCCTGCAAGAGAGGCCCATCAAATGCAGCCCTCATCTTGCCAGACCTGCAGGTCCCAGATCCCAGAAGTGGAATTCTTGAATTTATTGTACAGGCAAACATCTCCTTCCTCCTTAAAGGATTTCTCCCTGGATTCAGCTTTGGCCCCACCCTTTCCACTGACTTCTAAATAATCCCACTCTGAGAAGATGCTAAGAAGATTTTTTATTTTTGGTTGGGGGAGTTATAGTTATGTTACTGTAACTGCTGAAGGCCACCCACCTAACCTCTTCTGCGCACACTTTCCACTTCATAAGTACAGGATATCCTGTCCAGGGCTAGAATCTAATGTAAGAGGTTGGATTCTGTGGGGAGAGCTCTCCCTTCTTCTTGATACCTGGGCTGGGGAGGGGTCACGGGCCTCCCCTGTGATGTTCTGAGGTCCAAGCATTAACCCGGGTGAATGGACCCACTTCTGGGCCAACCCTGGGACTGGCCACAACCTGGGCTGACCACTGCACTTTTCCCAGCTCTCCTGGGCTATTTCTGAGTTTGCTAGTCCTGAGTCCTGGGGAGGGATGCTTCCATTCCCTAGACCTTATCTCAGGCCAGTGCTTGCAGAGGAAGATTCTAGTCTGCTCTCTGTACTCCTCCTCAGTGGTGGTTCGGGGCTTGAGGACATGAAAAAGGGTATGTGTGGGAGTCCCATTTTTCTGCCCCACGGATCTCAAGTCTTGTTAATATACAGAATTCCCATCATTCCTGGCAGGAACCAAGACAGACCCGGATTGTCCCTTAACAGCACCCACACCTCTCTCTCCATGCTCTTCAGGGAGCCAGGCCTTCCTCCTGAGACTGCCCCCTTTTCCCTGTCCTCCCCTTGACCCCAGTTTTTAAGCTGGAGGGGAAGATGCTGTTTTCTTTGCTCCCTTTTCCCTCCTGAAAGGAGGCTCTTGTGCAGGTGGCTGAGGGTGTGGGCAAGGGGGAGCGGATGCCTTTTCCTAGTAGGTGGGATCATGTGACTTTCCTTGTCTGTCACCCCTCCCCCTATCTCTGGGTGAAGGTTCTTTCTGAGCCCTCAGTACTGGCTCAGATTCTTCTCCTGAGGTAATCGCACCCAGCCCTAGCTGCTGCACTTTGGTGTGACCCTAACCAAGCACTGCCCTCTTCCTTCATCGTTTGGATTGGTGACCTCCCCTCCTTGTCACTGCTATTGTCATCACTGTGGTCATTATTATTAGCTAACACCTCTAAGTTCTCACTGTGTGCTGGACATTAGGCTAAAAATCACTGAGTGATTTTTTTGCCACTTAATTCTTATTAACTGCCCTGTTTTACAGATAAGAAAACGGGCCCAAAAAGGTTAGATAATTTTTATTTGCCCAAGGTCAGACTGGCAATACAGTGGAGCCCATTTTTAAACCAGTGCTTCATGCTGCCCCAACTGGAAGCTTCTTGCATTCAGGGATCTTACACAATAGCAAAGTGTAAGATCTGTCAGATGGAGATGAGGATTGTATCTACCTCAGGGAGCTGATGAGGATTAATTGAATGTTTGTATATAAAACACAATAGGGCCTGGCCCTTCCTTGGTAAACAGCTGATAAAGGTAAGTTGTTGTTTTTGATGATATTATTATTATTGTTGCTGTGAGTACTGCTGCTGTTTGTACTGTTACTTCATTGTCGGGAAGAGGGCCTTGTGCGTAGTGGAAGGGTGAATGAATGATGCTCTTTTTCCACTCTTCAAGGTAGGGGATCGGGTGATGGTGTTGATCCGGTCAGGCATGTGGCAGGAGGAGGTGACTGTGCCTTCGGTCCATACCTTCCCGATGCCAGAGGCCATGACTTTTGAAGAAGCTGCTGCCTTGCTGGTCAATTATATCACAGCCTACATGGTCCTCTTTGATTTTGGCAACCTACGACCTGGCCACAGCGTCTTGGTACACATGGCTGCAGGTGACAGGCACCCTCCATTTATCCCCCTTCCTTACCCCACTCAGATTTCATTCCAGGCCCCTTCCCTGCAGCACGTCTGGACTGTTGTCATGGCAACACCAGGCTGCTTCATCCTATGGTGCCCAGAGGCCTCTGCAGTGTTGTTGCCGTGGTAACATTCAGGCACCAGGTCCAGCCTGGTGTGCTATCCATAGCAACGTGCCCTTGCTCAGCACCCCCTCCTTGCCAGCCACCCTCCCCCCAATTCTCAATCTTGGAAATTAGACATGGGATGAGGGGAGAAAGCCTCAAGAAGAGTCCAGGCAAAATGGATGGGCTGGATCCTTGAGAGGCGAAAGGGAGGGTGGTGGCTAGGTGACTCCATACCCCCTCCTTATGAAAGTGTCTTGCTTTAGGGGGTGTGGGTATGGCTGCCCTGCAGCTGTGCCGGACAGTGGAGAACGTGACGGTGTTTGGAACGGCCTCAGCCAGCAAGCATGACGTGCTGAAGGAGAATGGAGTCACACACCCCATCGACTACCACACGACTGACTATGTAGATGAGATCAAGAAGATCTCCCCCAAAGGTCAGGGCATGGGAAGGGGTAGGATGGCATGGGACAGGGAGGGGGTCTCCAGATCTGAGGATCTTAATGCTGTTCCTGGGCCCCTTCCTCTGTGACAGGAGTGGACATCGTCATGGATCCTCTAGGGGGAGCAGATACTGCGAAGGGCTACAACCTCCTCAAA